AAACTGGGTTGCTGGGTGCTTGTGTTTTTATTGGTGAACAGAAACTATGCAAGTGGTTTACACAGCTTTTATTGGCTGTTGAGTACCTGCATTCAAACTTCGTTCTACATCGTGACCTTAAAGTATGCATTTGACTGTTGAATCGTATAACGTTTGCATTAGTTTTAGCTAATTTTAAGACTAAAGTCGACCGTTCTTGGCAGTGTTCCAACATCTTTCTCACCAAGGATCGAGATGTTCGGCTTGGTGGGTTGATCTACAACTGTCTTTAGTGTTCATTACAGTATATTTGGGATGAACTTTTGAGCTGTTCTGGTGACTTTCTTTGTTCTTGGCATGTCGTTAATGCAGGGGATTTTGGACTTGCCAAGACACTGAAAGCAGACGACTTGGCTTCGTCGGTATGGCCTAGATACTCGAATTGATTGCTTTTTGAAGCTCTGTAATTTGTTAGATAATGGTTGTGTTCTGTGCATTTGTGCTTAGGTGGTCGGAACTCCCAATTATATGTGTCCTGAACTTTTAGCTGATATCCCTTATGGCTTCAAATCTGATATTTGGTCGCTTGGTATGCATTCTGCAAACACACTCCTTTGGCTTTTTTTCGTCACTAAGTTCTTCTTTCGCCAGGTTGTTGTATGTATGAGATGGCTGCGCGTCGCCCAGCTTTTAAAGCTTTTGTAAGATTTAGTTTAAGTTCTTGGCTTTTATGTCTCATTTTCTGCATATGATGCTTAGACTACATTGATCTTTGAATTGATTTGGCATGGATCATTGTTTTCAGGACATGGCAGGACTCATTAGCAAGATTAATCGTTCATCCATTGGTCCCTTGCCCTCCTGCTATTCACCGTCCTTGTAAGTCTAAGCTTTTCATTACGTTTATTGCTTTCTGGGTTTGATTATGTAACATCTCAAACCCACCGCTAGCAGATATTGTCCTCTTTAGGCTTTCTCTTTCGGCTTTTCTTCAAGATTTTTTAAAACGCGTCTGCTAGGGAGAGCCTTCTACACTCTTACAAGAATTGCTTTGTTCCCATCTCCAACCAATGTGTGATCTCACAATCTATCCCCTTGGGTGCTTAGCATCCTCGTTGGCACACCGCTCGGTGTCTGGCTCTAATACCATTTGTAACAGCTCAAGCCACTGCGGTAGATATTGTTCGTTTTGGCCTGTTACGTATCGCCGTCAACCTAACAGTTTTAAAATGCGTCTCTTAGGAAGAAGTTCCCACACCCTTATAAGGAATGTTTTGTTCTCTTCTCCAACTGATGTGAGATCTCACAATCCACCCCCCTTGGTGGCCCAACGTCCTCACTGGCCCAACGCCCGATGTCTGGCTCTGATACCACATTGGTTGGAGATGAGAATGAAGCATTCCTTACAAGGGTGTGGAAACCTCTCCCTAGTAGATGCGTTTTGAAAACCTTGAAGGGAAGTCCGAAAGGGAAAGCGCAAAGAGGACAATATCCGCTAGTGGTGAGTTTGGGATGTTACAAATGGTATCAGACCCAGACACCGGGTAGTATACCAGCAAGGACGTTGGGCTCCCAGGTGGGTGGATTGTGAGATTCCACATCGGTTAGAGCGATGGGAATGAGACACTTCTTATAAGGGTGTGGAAATCTCTCCCTAGCAGATGCGTTTTAAAACCATGAAACTAACGGTGATACGTAATGAGCTAAAGCGGATAATATCTATTAACGGTGGGCTCGGGCTATTACATCTGCACAATGGCTAGCAAACACATTTTTGTTCTTGATTCCTTGTGCAGTCTGATGCTCACTCTTGCTCTCTACATGCAGAAAAACACTTATTAAGGGCATGCTACGAAAGAATCCAGAGCATAGACCAAATGTTAGCTTTTCTCCTTATTTAACATTTTGCCAACACTAAAGATTTTCTACCAGTAGGATCTGATGTTTTCTATTTTACTCCTCAATTGTTCAGGCTTCTGAGCTTTTAAAGCACCCATATTTGCAACCTTATGTCGAACAATATCGTCCTTCCATCGCTCCTACTGTCGATTTTTCACCCGATAAGCGTAGACCAACTCGTGATTCTCGGAGGAGTATGGCAGAGAGTCAAAATAGCAACAGTTCAAACAGTGATAGAGACAGTTTGATTTCGAGTGATAAAAATGCTCCTGCCATGGCATCGAACTGTGATGATAGAGTCACTGATAATGATATGGCATCTGTTGATGATCACGATGGACCCGAGCTCCTCGTTCCTAGTGAAGAAGAACAAACTCATAATACGTGCTCTCTCAAAGTGAATGATCCGATGCATTCCAAACCCGCTCAAGCAGACCATCAATCTAATACCGAATCAAGACGACCAAAGACTATAAGAAATATAATGCTAGCTTTAAAAGAAGGAAAAGCTCGGGAAAATTATTCGCCAGTTCGAGGTAACTGTGTAAAGTCTGGAGTTGCATCAAACCATAAAGCACATGCTGAAATGCCACCTAAAGTCATCAAGCCTCCAGTGGCAGTGCCTGGTTCCAAGTCTAATGCAGATACACCTACAACTGTGCCTGCAAAGGCAAATATTGAATCCTCAAGAAGAATCCAGGCTGTAGCTACTCCAAAGCATCAGGTAGAACAACTAATGTGTGAGATCCCGCATCGGTTGGAGAGGGGATAAGAGTATTCTTTATCAGAGTGTGGAAACCTCTCCCGAGTGGATGCGTTTTAAAACCTTGAGGAGAAGCCCAAAAGGAAAAGCTCAAAGAGGACAATATCTACTAGTGGTGGCCTTGGGCTGTTATAAATGGTACCAAAGCCAGACACTCGGCGGTGTGCTAGCAAGGACGTTGGGTCCCCAAGGGGGTGGATTGTGAGATCCTACATCGGTTGGAGAGGTGAACGAAGCATTCCTTATAAGGGTGTAGAAACCTCTCCTTAGTGGATGCGTTTTAAAATGTTGAGGGGGAGCTCGAAAGGGAAAGCGCAAAGAGGACAATATTTGCTAGCGGTGGCCGGCCTCTGACCGCTACAAATGGTATTAGAGCCAGACACCGGACGCTGGGTCCCTAAAGGGGGTGGATTGTGAGATCCCACATCGATTGGAGAGGTGAACGAAGCATTCCTTATAAGGGTGTAGAAACCTCTCCTTAGTGGATGCGTTTTAAAATGTTGAGGGGGAGCTCGAAAGGGAAAGCACAAAGAGGACAATATTTGCTAGCGGTGGCCGGCCTCTGACCGTTACAAATGGTATTAGAGCCAGACACCGGACGCTGGGTCCCTAAAGAGGGTGGATTGTGAGATCCCACATCGATTGAAGAGGTGAACGAAGCATTCCTTATAAGGGTGTAGAAACCTTTCCCTAGTGGATGCATTTTAAGATCTAAGCCTGAAAAGGAAAGCCCAAAAAAGATGAGGTAAAGCCTTGGGCCGTTACATAACGTTCGTTTATCTGAGTTTATTATCTATAGTTTTAGACAAATATCCGTTTTTTTTTGTTGTCATAGCTACCAGTGGTCGATCCCACGTCGAAGACTAAACCGAGATATGATAATTATCCCCCTCTTTTCCATCCTGTAAAACCAGTGGATGATGGACTTTCTTCAAAGTCGAGGCAAAGAACCCCTCCTACCGTGCTCCGACGACCGACATTTCCAGCAAGAGCGAGGCAAGCCGAGCTCAACGTTCCAGATGCAGTAAGTTCCACAGAAATGATTCATCAAAAGGAGACGCAACACACCACTTCAGAACCTTTTTCTAAAGGAATGCAAACAGACAGTAGCAATTCTGTTTCATCTTCAGTGTCAATTCAAGGATTTGAAATTTGTGACGATGCAGCAACTCCATTTACTGATATACCTGAGCTAGTTTTAGACCATCAAAGTATTGAACATGATGAACTTGAAGAAACACATCCACCTAGCTGCTCATCTTCTTTGCAGTATGAGAAGGGAAACCCTGGGGTTGATGACAAACCGCTGTCCGATAAAGTAACCAGTTTGAACAATCCCTCGTCCGAAAAGCTAGCCAGTAGCCATCTTCCTGCAGCGTTTGACGATGTCATACACGTAATACGACATAGTAGTTTCCGAGTCGGAAGCGAGCAGGCAGCGACAGAAAACTTGGAGGATCGCTCGAGCTGCAAAGAAATGGACGGAGGAAGCCCTCCGACAGCACCAACAAAGAACTCAGATTCTTCTGAGCATACAAAGCCTGTTGAAGAGGAAGTGGCAGCAAGAGAAACTTTGGATGTGAAATCTTTTAGGCAGAGGGCTGAGGCACTTGAAGAGCTGCTAGAATTATCTGCAGAGCTGCTGCAACACAACAGATTGGAGGAGCTAGGAGTTGTCCTGAAGCCTTTTGGAAAAGACAAGGTTTCTCCGAGAGAGACAGCGATCTGGCTAGCTAAGAGTCTGAAAGGAATGAAGATGGAAGACAATGCCAGAAGTTCATGAATATGCAGATGGGCGTGCTATTTGTATTATAGAACAGTGTCATCTCATATTGTACATAGTGACAGTACAGATTAACAAAAGTGCAATTCATCTGAGATAATGCAACTCGATACCGAGTTGGAATCCCATTCTAACTAAGGAATCTTGTAGTTTCGGAGGATTCAGGAGAACCAGGACGGAGAGCTTTCTCCCCCTTTTTCGCTCGCCTCTTTGATCTTAAGAGTGTTGGTTTTAAGAATGAGTGATTGCCCTTCTTCGACCTTTATTACCCATTTAGATAGCGGACAGCTAATGCGTTCCACTTGTTCAACAGGGTTCTATGGTCGGTCTGCGACTCCTGGATATCGAAGGCGTCCTTGGGGTGATCTTGTAGGTTCTACAGGGTGGAGACGATAGGGTTGGTTCATGGATTTTGTTCGAGAATGTTATATATACTTTTTTATGAAGAAAAAACAATGACATTTACCTTTATTTGACAATAAATGATAGTATTTTATCTTGATTGTGTTTGGCGGTGGTGGCAGCTTTTTGGTATAAAAATGGAAAAAGGCAGGAAATTGTGGCTTAATTGCTAAGGCTTCCCTTCCCACAGCCTTCGAACCCTATTACTACACTTCCATCTTCATCTTCTTCAACCTCTTTCACGTTCTTAATCCTTAATTCTTTATCCCCACTCTTCTGCTCTCTGCAGAAGATCGGATCCGCCATGGCAGATTCTTCCAGACCCGTCACCGGCTACCCGGCTTACCCCAACGGCAACCCGCCGCCCTCCAATTCACAGCCTCACGGGCAAGCTTATCCCTATGCTGCTCCTCCTTATTCCTATCCCTCTCACTACGCCAACCCCTACGATTCTACCCATCACAATGCTCGTATCTCCTTTCTTCGAGCTATTATTGCTGGAATCATTGTCATCTTCATCATCACCGCCGTCATTCTTTTCATTATCTGGCTCGTTCTCCGCCCTCAACTCCCTGAGTTTCGCGTCGATTCCTTTCAGGTAACCAACTTCTCCGCTGCCTCTCAGTCCCTCTCCGCCGCCTGGTTCGTTGGTTTTTCCGTCTTCAATCCTAACAAGAAGATGAGTATCTCATACGACTTTGTCGACTCCACCGTTTTCTACAAGAATCAGATCCTTTCCGAAACCCGAGTCCCTCCATTCATTCAGGATAAGAGAACCCACACGGTCGTTAATGCCTCTTTCTCCTCACTCAATGCTTACATCGATGCCTCGTCTGTGAATGAAATTAACGATGACCGCCGACGAGGGGCCGTCAAATTCGATGTCGGGCTATCCGCTCGGGTCGGGTTTCGAGCTGGTTGGTGGAGGGCCAGGAGGCGGTTGCTCAGGGTTCTGTGCGAGGACCTGTCGGTTGGCCTGTCGTCGTCGAATAGCAGCGCTTCAGGTAAGTTGATGGGTGAATCAAGGAGCTGCAGAGTCGCCATATGAGTAGATCGGTACTTGCCTTAATACGAATTAAGCCCATGTTTAGAAGTGTTTTGATTCTATAAAGAAAGAGGAATTCATGTAGGCATAAATGTACATGAACTTTTTAGGCTATGAGTGAGTAGAGGTTGTATAGTTCATAATACAATTTTTGCTGTCTGATTCTGATGTTGATTTCTTTTGGAATAAGGTAAATGGTTTCCTCTTATATTGTGATTTATCAATCTTAGAACATGAGCTCAGGGAACTGTACAAAAGTGAAGAATATCTGTTGGTGTATGCAGGCAGGATACAAATTTGTAGTCTCTCGCTTGGTTATCTTCCAATTAGCTTATGCAATTCAGTTCATATCGTGGTTGTTAATCCGCTTATATTGTAGCCTTTAGTGCACTTCCAAGTTTATTGTTTGTGAACTGATTGGGCACATGGTTATCTACTTACCTGTTTTGAGTGTCTACATAAGACTTGATTTTGTTGCTTTTTTTGGTGGTGGGTTAAATCATACAAGTTCTTAGGGGTATCAGATGATTGGAGCAATTATCTGCTATAATTTAGTTCTTTGTTCTCGAAGAGTTCGTTTAGCTGATCGTGCTGGGAAATTTGGAACTGGTTTCTGGGTTTCTTTGGTTCATCTTTTTGAGTTAGTACAGTTCTTTAGTTAACAATATTTGCAATGTTTTCCATTGACTCGGTGAGTACCTCTTAATTGTTGCTTCAAACCAAAATTCTTACTGATGAGGATCTTTTCTGAGTACCAGGACAAGGCTTCCTACCGATATAATAATTCTCCTATGTTCATTCTTCTCTCAAGGCTAGTTGCGATGCTGAGACGAGCTTTCGGTTTGATGAAAGTCCAAACCAACAATTTCAGTTGGTTGGAGCAACTTGTCGGCTGAACAATTGGTTTTGTGTTGGAGCAATGGGTGAGCTGATCAGCTGGAAGGAGGGAGGAGAGGCTGGGGCAAGTGCAAGTGGTGGTAGATAAGAGGGAGGGTGTAACAGCCAAGCAGATAGATATTGTCCTCTTTGGGCTTTCCCTTTCGAGCTTCCCCCAAGTTTTTAAAATACGTATGATAGGGAGAGATTTCCACACTCTTATAAAGAATGTTTCGTTCCTCTCTCCAACCGATGTGGGATCTCAGGGAGGGTGGATATGTTCGGTAATGAAATTGGTGTTGGTTGGTTTGTCAGGTATGAGGTCTGGGTTTCAGTTCTAAGAGCCAACACCGAGAGCGTTCGTTGGTTTGGTCAGTTTTTAGCAGCTCTCTATAAATTTCTTGCCACCCGCCTCATCTTGAATGTGTTGCCATCTAATCAAGATATGATCGAGTTACCCACATGAAAGGTTTAGTGAAGCTTTGAAAGATGATTGATTTACAGGTTATTTCTCTTCTTAGTTTTGATATCTACATCCTTGATTCTCTTCTTTGAAATGTGCTTTCTCTATGAACACTTGTTGATTCTTGATGCTCTTATTAACTTGCTTCCTTGACCATATAATTTCCTCCCATGCTCTCCTCTTAATCTTCATGCTTCCTGATCATCCATAGCTGAGAAAACTCTAGAGTTTTTTAGGCTTCAGTTATAACTTTCTTGCACAGGGCAGTCTTTGTTCTTTTGTTGATTACTGATGTGATAGATTGTTCAAACAACCCAGGAGTTAGAGTTAGAATTTAGGGATGGTGGTGTTTGCCATTGGTGCCAAGCATAATAGTGACTTGACTTTATCGATTGAATTAATCATTCTAGTCCTTAGAATCCATTACATTGCTGTCTTAAGTCTTGGATCGGTTTGGGTAGATATTGTCCTATTTGGATTTTCTCTTTTCGAGCATTCTTGTAAAACGCTTATAAGAAATGTTTCGTTCTCCTCTCTAACTAGTGTGAGATTTCACCATCCATCTCTCTTGGGGTCCAGTGTCCTCGTTAGTACACCGTTCGGTATCTGGCTCTGATACCATTTGTGACAGTCGAAATCCACCGCTAGCAAATATTGTTCTATTTGTGCTTTTCTTTTTTCGTGTGCTAACGATAGACTTGGACTGTTACTGTGTGATGTCCCACATTCGTTGGGGAGGAGAACAAACCACTATTTATAAGGGTGTGGAAACCTTCCCCTAGCAGACGTGTTTTAAGCCTTGAGGGGAAGCCCGAAAGGGAAAACCCAAAGAGGACAATATCTGTTAGCGGTGGATCTGGGCCGTTACAAATGGTATCAGAGCCAGGTTTCGATCTTGGGACCTGTGGGTTATACATTGTGATGTCCCACATTGGTTGGGAAGGAGAATAAATCACCATTTATAAGGGGGTGTAAACCTTCTAGCAGACACGTTTTAAAGCCTTTAGGGGAAGCTCGGAAGGGAAAACCCAAAGAGGACAAGCCTTTAGGGGAAGCTCGGAAGGGAAAACCCAAAGAGGACAATATCTGTTAGCAATGTCCCACATTAGTTGGGGAGGAGAATAAATCGGACAATATCTGTTAGCAATGTCCCACATTGGTTGGGGAGGAGAATAAATCGGACAATATCTATTAGCAATGTCCCACATTGGTTGGAGAGGAGAATAAATCGTCATTTATAAGGGTGTATAAACCTTCTAGCAGACACGTTTTAAAGCCTTTAGAGGAAGCTCGGAAGGAAAAATCCAAAGAGGACAATATTTGTTAGCGGTGGATCTGGGCCGTTACATAACGCGTTTGGTAGTTTGTATTATTCAAATTGGAGTATTTGATGATGGTGATATGGTGTTGTTTAACTCTAAATGCTACATAGGAAGCTACGGAAAGGCTGTGTACTGTATGATTGGATACTTCAGCCGGCCTTGGAATGCGTGCTAGCCATGACAGGTTGGTCCTCTGCAGCAGGAAATAGACAACTCTCTTAAAATTCATGCCTATATTTGTTCCACAAGTTGAATGCTACAAAGCAAATTTACACTATCAAAGGACGGCCCGTGTGAGATTGTGGAGTATTTGATGTCTTTCAACTATACAAATGTCTCATATCTGATTCCTGCTGTATCTTTCAAGTAAGGGGTCTCGTTTTTAGCGTCGTCTTTGAACTATTTGAACTATATTTGAGCCTTTTGTAAACTAAAATATTAATGTCGATCAATACTTTTGGAGAAAATTTCTGTCACCCATTTCATTATTCTTCTCCACAAAAATTTTCATTTTTTTTTTTTTTTGTGGGGAACGGGGAGGGGATTCCCATGGGCAATGGAGGGGGATCGTGTCGGGATTAAAAGAAAAATAAGATTCTTTTCTTGCTTTTTTATATTTGTACGTATATATTTTTTGAGTCCCTTTTTTTACTTTGGAATCTGTTTGGCAGCGAAGAGTTCTCATCTTTTTACCACACTTCATTCCACTTATTATTGTTAGGAATATATTGTCCACCTTGTGGTCGTTCTCTAAATTAGCCGATGTGGGACTTTCATCATCCAACACCTCCTTTCTTTTGGAGTCATTTGTTCGATATTTGAGGATTTACTTATCTATTAGCACGATAAGTTTAGGGCATGACTCTGATAATATGTTAGGAATCATGACTCTCCACAATAGTAGAATATTGTCCACTTTGAGCATAAGCTCGAGAGTATTCCTTGATTATAAACTCATATGGTCGTTCCCTAAATTAGCCGAGACTTTCATCATCCAACAATTATCTAAAAAATATATATATATACTCCCATTTCCCCTCTTTATAATTACTCCAATTCCCCCTCTTTTCCACGCATTACTACCCATTTCCCAAAATGAGCGCCAAGGACAAGGACTGCGGCCACCACCACGACCACTACCAACAATTCCTCCGCCGCCTCGCCGCCGTCCTCCTCGCCTTGACCATCATCGTGGGCATTGTAATCTTCATCATATGGGCAGTTCTCCGCCCCTCCAAACCCCATTTCATCCTCCAAGACGTCACCGTTTTTAGCCTCAACGCCTCCACCTCCCCAAATCTCTTGTCTTTGAGTATGCAAGTCACAATCTCCTCGCGCAACCCCAACGACCGCATTGGCGTTTACTACCTCCAAATGGACGTTTATGGCGCTTACCGCGGCCAGCAAGTTACCCTTCCCACACTCTTGCCTTCCACTTACCAAGGCCACCGTGACATCGTCGTTTGGTCCCCTTTTCTTTCCGGCGACGCCGTCCCCGTCGCGCCTGACGTCGCCGTGTCGTTACAGCAGGATAAAAACATTGGGGCAGTTTTGTTCAATGTTAAAATGGACGGGCAGGTTAAGTGGAAGGTGGGCACGTGGATTTCGGGCAGGTATCATTTGAATGTTAACTGCCCGGCGTTTATTAAATTTGGTAACGCTGATCATCATGCCATCGCTCTTGGCTCCGCCATGAAGTTTCAGATCGTTCAGAGCTGCCATGTTGAAGTTTGACCTTCTTTTAAAAAATTTGCAACAAATTTATGTCTTTTGATAATTTTCGTGTCATTAATTTATTTAATAAGCAAAAAAAAAAAAAAAAAAAATTGAAATTGTAAGAGGGGTCATCAAATGGGTTGTCGGATACCTGTTTTGATCATAGTACTGATCTTTAACTTTGAACGTGTTTGAAATAAATTTTGAAGTGTTGTTTTATCGATTAATGAAATTTAAAGTCCCGTGCTCGTATAAGATATATGATAGTGTTAAAAATGAAAGAAATAGTCTAATGGGCAAACTCAAATAGTAAAAGTTTAAAACAATGTCTTTCCACTCTAATTCGTACGCTGAAAAATGCACCATGCAGCGTTCATTCACGTCACTGTTCATATCACCAATCTGGCTCCCTCCCACCTTCTCCTTGACATGGTGTTTTTCGTTTTGTTGGTTGTTGGGTATGTCCTAGTTTCTAGAATCTCTCCTTTTTTGTTGTCAAGAATATTCAAATGTAGAAGAAAAGAATCCATACGATATGCCGTGAATATTCAAAGTTCAGAATATATCACTAACGTCAAATAATCTTAACTTTCATAATAATTTTAGAACAGCAGAGACGTGCATGAATTCAGATGGAGTAATGAAAAATTTCGAACCAACACAAAATTTTAGATGGGTCGGATTGACCCCACAAAAAAAAAATCTAACCCGACCTAAATTTTTAGTTAGTAGCTCGAATTGATTGAGTTATCGGTCACTTAAACATCCTTAATTTGGTCTTGTGGTTTGGGTTGATGGGCTTGAATGGACGGTTGGATGTGAGTTAGGATGATCCAGATCTTTTCACGTGGACTCCTTTTAAATTTGGGCTTGGGAGTGATGGCCCAATTAAACATAAAAAGCCCACAATCCAGGCCCAATACACGAC